AATGTTAGTTGTTAATTCATGTCCCTGTGCTACCATTTCTGAAAATTTTACATAGTCTAACTGGAATAGTTGAATTTACAAATAACTACGGTTATAATTTTTTCTTCGACATTATACAAGAAAGAAATTTAACGTTAGTTGTCCTATATACAGAATGTTCTCCTATTTCAATTTGCGAATAAACAATATTTTATGTAGCCCTAGACATTCCACCTTCTTTTGTCTCTTTATATGAAAGTAAGCTGTATTTGTTTAGTATTTCTAAATACAATAACAGCATGTTGATATATGAATATTTTTTAACCGTACAAATTGAAATATACAGAGTTTTAATGATTAACAAAAACATAAAAACATTTGTGTTTATTGAAACTGAGAAGCAACAATCAAAATTCACCACCTACATGAAATGCATCTTCGACCCCCCCCCCCTTTCCCCAAATGTAATACCTTTCATTTTTGGTGTACTTGAACAAATAACAAATAAAGATCAAACGAGTAGGTTAATTGTATTCACAATTAACCTTAGACATAAATGGCCCAGCAACCTCGCTGAGATTAAGAAAGCTACAAGTTGTGTTTTTGCCCTTCAAATAATGTTCTATTCTCTCCTGTCATTGTGTCCACTGTTCTCTTGATTGCTGTAACCATGGCATTTGAAACAGAGGCCGTGATGATAAGAGAAAATGGAACACGATTCGAGAGGCAAACACAAGTCTTGTAGCTTTCATGCTCTTAAAATTATCTCTTTGGCAAATAGCATCAAAGGTTTATTTTGTGCATAGCTGCCTGCAAACTGTTTGGCTGCAACAACATATTTACATATTGGTCGTCCAGTTAGGTTCCAAAGAATGAAAATTGGAGCTAATTGTGACCCTAATGTTGACGTTGAACATGATAACATATAAAAATTCGCTGTGATGCGTCATTTCTGCAATGACATGCAACTATTTTCAGTTTTCTACACCGACATGATGAGGCATTTACGACTGAACCATTGAAGAACTCGGCAACAGGTCCTCCTTTAGGATTTTATCATGTTCAGCATGTAAGTTGTGATTTAAATACGAGGTGTCGATGTAGTACTACATGCTTCAGTCTTCTCAACACAGCTTGACAGGGTATCGACCATGACTATAATGACGTCAACAAGTATTACGTCATGTTTTTTTAGAAACTAATATTGTACAGCAAATTTGTATGTTTAGGTAACCCTTATGTTACCCAGCCTTACAGATATTACCATATATAATAATATAAAATCTAATAATCTAATAAAATAGCTTGAGGGTACTACAACACAGAATACTGAAAAGACAAGGCTACATATGTGCAGTAGTTAACTAAAATTTATACTTAAAACAAATTTAACATAATTATTAATTGTCCATTAGTTCATATAGCTGATGTTTCTATTATCAGTAAAATCTCAGTAAAGTAACATTCAAGTGGTAGCCATTTTGAATGTTTTTTACAACAAAGTGATAAATTTAGTTTTCAAAATAAATTAATACTACTTTTAAAATACAGCCTAATTTTGTGTTTGGTGCTGCACGTTGACTTTCTGTACAATATTGCTACAACGACCATATAAATAAAATGTTCTGGCTTGGTGTATCAGAGGAAAATTCTTGGCATGTTTAAGTATCAGTTTCTGAAAACGCGACTCTAGAGCTAAAATATATATATATATATATATTGTAATTAACGCACTTTTGATGTTTCATAAAAGTTCATTCTTGTCTCAAAATTCATAGTGAAACTTCCACTAATACAAAATTTAACAAATTTCATTGACTCATAAAATTTTCACAAATTGTCGTTGATTTTCAAATGACATCCTTAAACATTACATAATTTCAATAATTATTCATAATGATGTTTGATTCACATAAACAATCAAGTAAACAAAAACTGAAATAGCGACAGTCGTATTTTTAACTGTTCTGGCACCAAAATAATTTCTTTTTATTCACAACAAATTACCCAAAATCCACCGCAAAGTGACACAGTTTGGATTGAAATTGACATTATCAGAACACATCGTCTCATTTGATCTGTTATACACTGAATGGCGTTCTATGAATATGTTTTATTTTCATTGGAATCTTGTAATTGTGACAAACACTAAATGAAAATCATGAAATTGACAAAAAAGCACTATTAAAGTGATTTTATACAGTGGCTTTACAATTGAAATAGTCATACATCGAACCCTGTAAAGATAAACGTTGAGAAGAATGAGCGTATTTAGAATTGCATGATGCATATGTGGGTAATCTCTTTGCAGTTTTCTGCACTGCCATGAGGCATTTACTACAGAACCCTTGAAGAACACTGGCAAAGGACCACCCCTTGGTTTCTACCATGTACAAAATGTAAGTTTCCTGAGTAGCATACCAACAAGGAAACATTTCTGTTTTTCATTATTGCATGAACAAATTGCATGCTTTATAAAGTCTGCCATCTTGGATCAAAATAAGCTATTGAATTCTACAGTGTATTTCTATGTGGTTTGGGCTACTATGCCATGTGTTGCAGGTAGTACACTGCAACTCGTACATAAATGGGCTAAACTCAAAATGGCCGCCAATGCTAGACATTTCCAATATCAACAACACGAAGAATAAACTTCTGTATCATTATAGTAATTCACTCCTGGTATAACTTAGTATGACACATTTCAATGCAAAAAGGGTTTCCATGTGCCCAAGAAATTCTTGGCAAACCACATATACAAATCACAGAGTCTCCCTATCACAGTTTCCTTTGTTGTCAATCGTTCATGTTAGTGAACTTTTATATTGTAGCATGTTGCGTATCTGCATATGTGTGCTGCATGTTAGCTTCTATCTAATGATTCTTTGAACAGCATGTTCTTGATCACCGAAATTTTAATGCAAATTTTGCAAAATTTTCATGAATTTGTCATAATTTACCTTTCCGTACAAGTGATTGTTCAAAATTTAAAAAAAAAATATGAAAAATATTTATGAAGGTTTCTGAAATGTGAATATAAAAGTTAACTTTGATGTTCAAATGGTTGAATTCTTCATCTATTACACCGATTCTGGGAAATATTCAGAAGTGTGTTATCAAGATGACTTGGAACTTTGCAAAATAGTCTGGTTTATGTCCAATCTAGACTTGATGGCTTTTTTTTTGACACACACACAGTTTGGATTATGCCATTATCAGACAAGATGAGAGTAAAGTACAGTTTTACAAAATGATACACATTCATCATTAGAATAATGTTTTTAATATTTCTTGATTGACATACAATGTAGAAAAGAAAACATATACTAGATTAGCAAATCATCATGTTGAAATAGTCAATCCCACACAGCATGCTATTAGTGTCATCAAGTCTTGAACAAAGAAAATACCAAGTTTTTTGCAATATTGTAAGCCATCATGCTAACTGACTATTAATTTCATCTCATAACCAGCATGTTGTCTATCATTCTCTTGATAGATCCTTCTTGGTAGTACCTCTTTATTAGCTATGTACCTGCCAGCAATCCTGCTACCAATAAATAAATCCAACCTGTTCCAGTTATACTCATGTATACCCTGCTGTCTGCTTCCACACATGAACAAATCTACATCTTTCCATAAAATATAATTACAAATTTTCAATCCTTTGATCGATATTTATATTGTTTGTCGGAAAATGTTACTTTAAATTATTACTTCCTCTTCAACCAGCCCCTCAACCCTTCGCACACCACCCACCAAACCCCAAGCTATGTAGAACACTATCATAAATTTATCATACTAATTCAATGGAGTAGAGTTGCCATCAAAAGTGCAGAAAGCTTGGCAATATATTAACATGCATTATTCATCTTGTCATTTCATACTAATTTTCTTCATTTAATAAATGACTTTATTTACTAACAAAGTCAGATGTTTCTAATCATTGAGTTTATGTGAAATGAAAGCACAGCTTTGAGCTCATTTGCTGTCTGTATGTCTGTCCATGTGTCCGTCTGTCGTTGTGAATATTTATACTGTATAGAATAGTATAATTCTCCAGTGAAGTTCAGCTTGTGTGTGTTTGATTCATTCATATGCCCACTGATCAATTCCTACCATATGCCTACTGATCAATTCCCATCACATGACTACTGATCAATTCCCACCATATGACTACTGATCAATTCCCACCATATGACTACTTATCAATTCCCACCATATGACTATTGTTCAATTCCCACCATATG